GGGGTGGCCCCGCCGCGCTGCCCCCGCATCCTCCGCTCCAGCGCGGCTCCTGCGGGACGCGCATCCCTCCGGGCCCGCACTCACCTGCGGCTGCGGCGCGGCGCCTCCCCCGGCGCATCGCTGCGGGCTCGGCTGGGGGCTCGGCGCGGACGGGGGAACGGGGGGCGCTGCCCCTGCTCGGCCGGCAGCCCGCCTTGTGCGGAGGAAGTGGGAGGAGGAGGAGGAGGAGAAGGAGGAGGGCTGGGTGTGCGTATGGGCCGGCCGGAGGAGGGGAGGGGATGGGACGAGACAGCAGAGGACAGCCCAGGCAACGTGCGCTGAGCTGGTCGGGACTCTGTCCCCGCGCTCGGATCGGGGACACCCCCCGAGTTATGGGGGATACCCGCAGCCGGGGAGGCGCTGTAGGGAGGGTTCCCCGTTGCCGCGAGTCCCCCGTTATAGAGGAGGGGCCGCATGGAGAGCCCACCGTGAGGGGGGAGAGTTATTAAGAGCAGCCCTCATTGTATTGCGCCTCATTAAAGGGTCCCCCATTTTGTGGAGCCAGTGAAGGGGCCACCATTTCAGGCAGTCCCCATCAGGAACGAGCCTCCCATTTAGGGGGGACCCCGTTAGGGAGGGGCACTCTCCTTACAAGCAGTCCCCATGAGGGAGGGACCCCCTGAAGGACCCCCCCACTTACCGGCAGTGCCCATTCGGGACATGCCCCCAAATACAGGCACCCCCATAGGAGCGGACCCCCATCGAGGGGATCCCCCGGTGCAGGTGTTGAGGGTGAAGTCACGGCTCACGGAACACCATGCGGCTGTAGAACACCGAGGGCTCGGCATCAAGTCCGGACCGCCCAATCCAGTTCAGGGGCTCCACGGCCGCCTGAGTAACAAATTGGTCAAAAACACGAGCACAGATCACCCTGACAGCGAAGCCCTTCATATGTAACATTTTGTGATGAATTGGCGTCTCTAAATAAAGGCGTGTATCATCTTGAGCCAGGAGTGCCCCTTAGACGGATCCACCCGCCCTGTATCCGGGAGGATAAAAACGTCAGCTTCCTACAACTCCAGCGGTGTTAAGGGGTTTTATTTCCTAATTTCGGTGACACCGGCAGTCCCCATGAAGAGGATCCCCCATTGCAGCCCATGCATTGTAAGGATTTCTGTGAAACAGGAGCTCCCCCGTTGCAGAGCACAGAGGAGCCTTCCCCAGGCTGAACCCAGCGGGATGTGGCCGGAGGTCCGGCTCCGGCCGGACACAATTCCCTGTGTCCACAAAAAATCGCTTTCCCATCTCGTCTGCAGGGCCAGGGATCCGCCGGCAGCCTAGGGTGGGCTGGGGTTGGCTTCCGAGTCCTCTCGGAGTCCGTCCCGCCCCAAAGCAGAGCCCCTCCTCCTGCATTTAACCCCTGCCAGCCCCAAGCATTACCACGGAGCTTTTATCTAAGGAGCCGCGTCTGGAAAAGTCCATGCAAACATTCCCAGACTAATCATTAACCCTCATAAAAGGCACGTAAATATGATTAACCCAGTGACACAGATCCTGGCAGATTAAGTGCGTTGCCCAAGGCCGTGGAGTGAAGCAGTGCCTCAGCTCCCTCAGGCAGTGAGAAATAAGTCAAAAAGAAATCATTCCCCTTTCTTATTACTTCATTGGACAAAGACCGAGAAAGAAGGGTTTAAATTCTCCTTTCCTTGGCCTCACAAGCATTATTTTCCACTTACAGCTTTAATTTATAGCAGTTTTGTGGCAGCAGCAAAGAAAACAAGGATCTGGGAGGAGCTGGTGTGAAATTCCCAGTCCCTTGGCTCCAAAGTTTACACACCATTGCTTTGTCTGGGGCTCATCGATCAGGTGTTGCCATTAATATTTTCTTTGGTCAAATGGTAATGAAATTACAGAATAGTTATTACATTCAATTATGAGATGTTACATATTAGTGTGCAACACAGAATAGTTAATATATATTAAAACAAGCAAATGGGTGGACAATACAGGTTGTTATTTAGTGTTATGGGCATTAAAACTATCAGTGTTAATTTTTACCTGACTGAATAGAATCACAATTCCCTCAAAATGGCAGATAATCCCTTTAAGCTTGATTTGGCTCATACATTTACATAACTTTACTCAAGAAGCACCTTTCCTCATTCTGGTTTGGCCACATCCCTGCTGCATCCAGCTGGACTCTGAAAGCTAAATTTCTACATTTTCTCACTCTTGCATTTCTCTGGCACAGAGAGGGGAGTTTTTACCTGCTATCTCAGCAAATACCTGCTTGCTGTTTTGTTCTTTTTCCTGTGAATTTCCTTCTCTCAGCTTCATGTGTGGTTCATCTCTGCCTTAGTGACTGCAATGGTCTGAGCAGCTCTTTGCTGAGATATCAAACCTGCTGGCACAGGAGACATCAACTTAAAAAAAAAACAAACAAACAAACTCATTGTTTAAGTTTATTTTTATATTAATTTTTAAAGACTTAGGAGTGTGTCTTTGGGGGAAAGGTGAGTGGTGATTCCCACTCAGGGCATGGCCATTCCCACCCTTTTTGCCCCTCCAGCCATCAGCATCCTCTCTGTTTTGTACCCAGTGATGGGAGCAGCCCCAGAATCCCCACAGGGTTTGCTGTGAGCCCAGGGAGGTGAGGATTTGACTGATTCACTCAAATTTTAGCCATGTGGTTTTCAATTCTCTTTTTGAGGCTTCTCAGCCTCAGCATCTCCGTTCAATCTGATGTTTGCTGGGCTGTGGCTTCCCCTAAGTGCTCAGGAAACCTGCTGTTTTCACATTGTCACTGCCTGCAGGGTCCCCAAATTCCCTGTGCCTGTGGGACACCCATCCTGGGCTTCACCCTGGCAGACACAGGGATGTGGGGGCTCCAGGTGGGATTATGGGCATCCAGGCAGCACTCGGAGTTTATTGCTGCTCCCCAGCCACACTGCTTCTCCCATACCCCAAAAAGGGTCAGTTCTTGTCCCAGCTTTTGCTCCCCAGTTTGTCCTGGTGCTATTTAAGCCCCCCAGTAGGATTTAACCCTCTCTAGGAGGGCAGAACCCACAGTGAAGCTGGTCAGGGGTTTGAGTGATGGAGAAATGTGGGTGGTCCCCACCTCACAGGCCTGTCCACTGCCTCTTCCTGTGTCAGATCTGTCCAGTAATATCTACCCTCATTCATTTCCCTCTTTTTTTCCCCTCTTCTCCTTGATTTGCTTCCCCATAAAGTCCTGCTTTAGTTTCAGGAGAGATGAGCTACTCAACTGATCTCCTGGTGACAGGGAGAGGAGGGATTTAAAGGTCACCAGCTGCCACAAACCCCACAGCTTCCCTGGTTTTAAACACAGCAGCCCTCCAAAATGACCTTGGGTTTGCTCCTATGGACCAGAGAACCCCATTCCACACCTCAAATCATCTGGCAATCCCCCAGATTATCCAACAGAGCCAAAACAGAGATGGTTTTTTTGGCTCAGGAGCCATTTGGAGGGGAGTGGGAGGTGGGGTCCTCCTCTAACAGCTGGAACACATCCCACAAATGAAATGAAGGCAAATGCCCCCGGTCCCCCCCAAAAAAAATCCCCAAATTCTATCCCACTGCAAGGAATTTGGGACACCAGCATCTGTTGCTCTGTCCAAGAGGACAAGAGGGAACTTTATCCCACCCCACCATCCCCAGGGCTCCTGCCAGGGATTTCCTGGCCTTGTTAGCAGCTCTCACCTTGGAGACATCCTTGGTGCAGCAGCACCCCTGATGAGGCTCTAATTAGTGAGCTAATTGGAATAAGAGAGCTGTACAGACAGTCCAAATTTCCCATGCACAGCCTGGCTGGAGGAGAGGGACAGAGGAAAACAGGGATGAAGGGATGGAGTGGTGGAGGGAAGATTAAGGAGGGAGGGCTCCCAACAGCTGCCATTTTGGCTAAATTTAAAGTACACTTATTGTGAAGAGAGGAATCCAGGTTTCCTCATCCCACTCGTTTCTTCTGGAGCCAAGAAGGAGTTGAAGCCTTGGAAGCTGCCAGCTCCGTCCAAGTCTCCAAGTGACTGCTGGCAGCGAGAGGAGACCCAAACATCCTCTGAAATATCCACTCCCACATCTCTCCCTGTCTGGGAAATCAGATTCCACACTCTGAGGGTTTTTTGGGGTGGGTCTTTTCAGCTTCTCCCACCCCTCTTTGCTCTGGATCTCCTTCTGTCGAGGCTAAGATCCCCTTTTTAGGTTGAACTAGGAGAAAATTATGTCTCGAACTGGATGATTTTTGAATTCCCTTACAACCCAAACCATTCTATGATTCTAAGAAAATATGGCACGGGCAAGTCTGGTCGCTCATCCAACATTTTTCCAGCTTTATCTCCTTCAAAACTTTGATTTGGATCCTGACAGGGCCTACAGGTAAATAAATAAAAATCTTAACCTACTCTGCTTGCTGCCCCAGGAAAGCAATGAAGACAAGGCCCAGCAACCCAGAGATGCAGGTAGCTTATTATCTCTAGATAATTATCCTTAGGTAATGAGATATCCAAGCCCCAGGAAGAGCAGAGTGGGAATAAATCCCCAAGGAACATGAAAGATCATCACATTCCCACCCAGAATCATGGAACTGAGCAGACCCCACCAGCCAAGAGGGTTTTTCTCTGGTAAATCATTCCCTCAGCAATCTGCTCTCCAAGGAACACTAAAAACAAAACTAATCCTGTTCTCCCAGGAGGAGGAATCCAAAAATAACCCTGTGGATGAATGAGCAGCACAAAGCCAAGTGCTGAGGCTCGGGTTGAGTTTGGGAGCTGAAAGCTTTCCAGCTCCATGTTCCCACTTGAATTACTGCCCAGGCATTCATTCACGCGCCGCTTCTGCACTTCATAATAAAAAAGCCATGGTGTTTCTTTTTGCTTTTGTTTCCCAGTACGGGAGGTGAAATCCTGCAAAACCCTGGAGGAGGATGCAGGGAGGGAGAAGCCCCTTGGAGCAGCCCACAGGCTGATGGAACCCATCCAGAGCTGAGGAAAGCCACTTGTGCATCAGGACACGGGCTTGGAGCCCACGGCTCCAGCGCTGAATTCCCGGCTGGACTTGCTAAGCTTGGCACGTTTGGATGCTCCTCTGTGGGAAGTCCTGGCACGGTGGCAGCACTGGGGATGCTCCTGACACACTCCCTGCTCTCTCAGCAGGCAGGGTGCAGGCGCTGGGGTGGCTCACCTGCTCCCTGCCTGCAGGAAGGAAACACCCCCAAACCCAAGGATGGATACCCATGGAACATCCAGGCCAGTGCCATGGCAGTTTCTCATGAGCATCCATCCCTGTGAGCCCCACCTCTGCATCCTGCCCTTCCACTGGGAAGCAGCCCCCTACCTGGGTTTATTCCCTGGGCACCTCCAGGGACACCCCAGCATTCCTGGTTCAGAGGAAGAGCAGCCAGTGCAGGGAAACCACCTTCTCAGTGCTGTGTGGTGAGGAATAGCCCTGTGGTCTCGGAACAGCCTTGGGTGTGGTGACAGCCGACTCAGGGGAGCTGGTGAGCTGCCCTCAGCTTTGGCCGGCAGCAGCTGTGCAGCCCCAGCCACAGAACACTGGGATGAGCACACACGGGAGGCAGCCCCGTGCCCAAGCACCCCTCACCTCCCTGGGCTCCCAGACGAAGCCGAGTCCCTCTGTGGGGACATCAGCAGTGCCTGTGTTTGGGGAGCCGGCCTCAGTGGCACAGCTGGGATTGGGGTGCCATCCCTACTGCCCAGGGAGTCCCACATCCCCAGGGATCCTTCCAGAGGCTCTGGAGCCGTGGATCTCAGGGATCTGCACCTTAATAAGCACCATGATGTAACTCTGAGTAAGCCTTGCAAGGAATCAGCCTGAGGAAGCTGCCATTTCTTAATCTCTTTTTTTTTTTTCCTCTCTTTTTTTTCTGCTCTGGTTGAGGTCACCCAGTTTGAACCTCAGCAACACAGAGACCTTTTCCCCCT